ATGCACTAAGAGGGCCCAGTTCGATTCCCAGTCAGGGCACATGCCTGGGTTGTGGGCTTGGTCCCCAGTAGGGAGCCTGCAGGAGGCAGCTGATCAATGTTTCTCTCTCACATTGATGTTTCTATCTCTCTCTTCTTCCTTTCTCTCTAAAAAATCAATAAAGACATATATATATTAAAAAAAAAAACAAGACTTCTGCTGAAAGTCAGATTCTAAAAAGAAATTTAACAATGTATTTTTTTTTCTTTTGCTATATACTCTATATTAATTTTCCCCTCTATAAAATACAACTACCACCAAGCGTGAATCTTTGAACTGACTTCCTGCAAAGCTTTCTTTTTTTTCTCTTGAAACAAGTTAAACTATAACCCCAAATTAATTATAGACTGTAATAAGAAATAAAAGTATTTATTTGAGCAAAAAGAACTTCAGTCTGGGACACACAGATTTAGGTAGCAACCTAAATTATGCTCTACTAAGACAAAGGCAAGGTCACCTTTTAGACAGAATTTTTCGGCCCATAGTTTCCATTTTAATTCTTTTCATGTAAATGAGGTTTCTAATTGTACCATTCTGATTGGTCTAAATCATGCATTTGATTGAGCAATTGGTCTATAGGTACAAATGAGGATATTATTTATCTAGTTCTGATTGAATAGAGCAGATATTAGTCCATTGGTTGAAAGACAGACCAGAGCTTCCCTGCGGTGGTTGAGTCAGATGATGTCAACAAGCAGGGCATAGTGCAGGAAGTTCAGTCCGAGGTTCTTTCTAGTATACAGAGTACTGAGGAGTCCCTATCAGAAAATAGCCAGTAGACTCTTATTAATAAAATTTGGGCCCTCAGTTTGCTACCATTGTAATTAGCTAGTTATTAATAATAGGAAAGGGAGGCAAGACTTTATAAACTTGGCCATTTGGGCAGCTTCACCAGGAAGCTGCAATTTCACACTCCTCAGGTAAGCACCAGCCTATTCCCCACACACAAATCACTGGGGGAAGGGGCCCAACAAAAGGGAGATAGATGCATGAGCCGTAAAATTGGGATGACATAGGGAAGATGCCTGTTAGTCAAACCGGGGTACAGAGATCACTGGCCAGAGGGGCAGGGCCAATGCAAACCCACAGAAATTTGGGAATACATAATCCCCTAGACAAAAGAGTTCTCTCTCTCTCTCTCTCTCTCTCTCTCTCTTTCTCTCTCTCTCTCTCTCCTATCTGGTTTCTTTGGTTTTGCTCCTGCTTCCTTGCATTAGCCCAAGTTCCCTCCATAGCCATGTGGCCCTGTAGACCCCACATGCAATGTACTGATGAACTGCAACTGGGGGAAAAACAACAACAAGCTAGTTTAATGCTCAACTAGACACTGCTCCAACATGAAATGAAAACTCTGGGTAACAGCTTTAATTATAGCTCTGCTGAAGCCACAGATACACTTCTTCTAAGGATAAAGGGGAATAAAATCTTGGAAATTTAGGAGTGTAATTTCACATATATAAAGCTTTCTACAATACCTTATCTTCCTGTATGAGTCTCAGAAAATTCCTTTCCTTGGGATATTGCAAGAAGCCCACTTCCACCAGCAACCAGTGGAGATGGGGAATGCTCCCCACCAATAATAAGTTGACCATGAAAAGTCCATCTGAGCAGTCAAGTTCCTTCTCGAGATTCATGTCAAATGAATTTTTCTTCTCTGGGGTCCACAGAACTCTTTAATGAATAGTCTAAAAAGTTTTCATTAACAAATCTTTAATTTAAAAAAATTAAATGAATTATCTTTGTTTTCAACTTTCAGCTCTGAGTTGAGAGGTATATAAACAAATCATACCATCTTAGTAATAAGGTATTCCTGAACTGCAAGGATATATTATTACCTTCCAAAGGAAATTTTCTTCTTTAAAGTTTTTCTGCAAATCAGAAAACAGAAGCTAGCTTGGAAAAGTTTAAATTGAAATGTTAAAACCAGGCATATGATTTTATGAAATTTCCTGTTCATATGCAAATTTAGGGTTTATTCCCAAGTCTTTCCCCTCCCAACCAACATTCATTATTATGTTAATTAGAAGAAATGTATGCACAAGTCCCCTTATAAAAGAACTGAGGACTACATAAAAGAAAATACTTTTGTAACTCATAATTCTGTGATGACTATGTAAAGTTGAAATAACATTTTGGTAATTTAGCTGAAGGGTAATCAAAATTAAGCACTGGAGTGTTAGAATATCTAACTTTTTCACAGAATATGTTTTTAGTAAATCACCTTTCTAAGCTTCAAACATTGCTATAAAATGATGATAACAGTAACTCAGCATTTGAGTCAAAAAGAACTGGGTTCAAATTCTAGTTGAGATACTTCCCAGTGGTTTTAACTTAGCCAAGCTCCTTATGATCAACTGTAGGCTAATGACACCCATATTTTAGGATTGCTATGAGGATGAAGTAGTGTCTGCAATATGCACCAAGAAAGAGTAAGGCAGAGAGTACTTTTGAAGTCTATACATTGGATTTCTCTATATTAATCTAATTTAATGGCTTTTTTAATGCCTCTTCATTATATTTCACTTACTGTATCATTAGTAAGTATGATTTCCCCCCTTGCTTTTTAGCCTTCTATACCATGAAAGGACGTAAAATTTGTCAGTGCAAAGAGTCTCTCAAGCAGTGAGCCATTGTGATGTTACAAACAAATATTGCTAAATTTAGGAAAACTTATATTTCAGTATAAATTTCCCAAGGTGTGTGTGTGTGTATGTGTGTATGTGTGTATGTGTCTATGTGTCTATGTGTTCATGGCAGCAAGAATGGCACCAGAGGTTAGACCAGTGAAGTTAGACAAGACCTTGTCAACAACCTTGGTATTTGAGTTCTGGCTAGGAAAGAATTCAGAGTCAAGACGTAAACTGTAAAAGAAAGTTTTTCAGAAAGTCACAGAGGTAGAAGAAGTGAGTGGCAGAATAAATAGTCTTGGGAAACATTATGGAGGCAAAAGAAGGGCCCTTGGAGCTTGAGGTTATGCAGCTGGCTGGGGGTGGGGGAGGGGCACATACCAGGTCCTCTGTCTTTAGGGTCTTTAAAGGTGGGATCTGGGGAGAGATCTCAAGTGAGAACCTCAACATAATATTCATTAGCTTCTCAGGTATGTCCTTTCAAGGTTTTGGTCTCCACAGATGGTCAACACCAGGGCAGGAGGTCATTAGCAATGCAGTTGGTCTGGCATTGCTGCTTTTCTGGACCTGGAACTGAAACACAGATGAGGCCTAGATGTATTTAATGTGGGTCAGAACCTCATTATCCTGGGGGCTTAATGCTTAACCTCTATTCTCTGGCCCCTTGTTCATTCCCCCTCTGAGGAGGTCTAACCTGCATGGGGCAAGGTCCTTGTTTTCCCAGTTTTGCTGTGTGATAGGCACCCAGGGCTTTCTGCCCGGGTGATCTGTACCTGGCCCATTGTCCTTGCTCTGCTCATGTCTGTCTGACTGCCTACCACATATCTATTTACAAGTGAAGGGGAAAAAGGATCTATGTTAAAGCTACTTATATACTTGGCATTGAATAATTGAACTAAAAATTAGAGAAACAAAAACAAATAGTAGGGGAAATTCAGTTCTTCCGAGCTCCTTGACACTTACAGCTGCCAAAGGCAGCTTTTGCAAAGGAATAGCTCTTGTACCCAAAGTATTATTTTACCGCCTTGAGAAGGAACCACAGGTCCCAAAAGGTGTGCTGTTTGCATTAAAACGACAAGGGTTCAGACATACAACAGCCGACTTTAGTAGATACAGCAGACACACTTGAGCTTATTTTTCTTGACTCTCTCTCCCTCCATCCCCAAGTCTTCAAGTACACTCATTACAAGATTCCCTGGAATCAGGAGGTGGGAGTGAGTTTCAGTATAGAATTTGGCTCTTGAAATCATATTGGTCTGATCAAGGAAAAGCAAGGCAAGGAAGAGAGAAGAGAGGAAAAGCAAGGAAAGAGTGGGTAAAAGAGAGGAAGGAGAGGAGGTAAAGGGGAGAGAGAGGCAAAGAAAAAATCAAGCGGGGAGGAGGGAGAGAAAAGAAAGGAAAATGAGAAAGGAAGTAAGCTGGGATGAAGTGAGAAAAAGGAGCACAAAAGAGAGCCAAACAAGAATGTGAGAAAAAGAGAGAAGATGCATTAGGGAGCCAGAGAACCTTCATCAGCACTTAACTGAATCTCGGAGGCACTGTATTGTTTTCTTGAAAACCCCAAGCTAAGCATTCCAAGAATGTTTGACAAAGCCCTTCAGGGAAGGGTGAGGTGGGGCACTGGTCGGGGGAGGGGGGTGTCACACACACACACACACACACACACACACACACACACGGCCTCCACGCATGATGTGACAGGGCTGGGGAGACCTAGCGGAAACCTTCAGGTCACCCAGGGAACTGCTCCTCTCGCTGGTCCTGCAGCGCGAGCAGGGGGGTGAGAGCGCCCAGACGCGCGGGGCGCGGAGATGAGCAAGTGGCGAAGCTTGACCCAGCACAGGCGGGAGCAGCCGCCCAACTCCCGGCGCGGGATCTGCTGAGAGGCCACGGTGAGTCTCTCCTCCGGGTGCGGGTCCGAGGGATGCCCGGGGACCCCGCAGCCCCGGGCCGGGCTGAGGCGGGCCGTAAGCTCGGGGAGTCCGGCCTTGGCTCGGCACCGCCGCCCGGAGCCCCGCGCCGCCCGGGTGCGCCAGGCTGGACGCACGGACTGGCCGGCGCTCAGCGGGGCTGCTGGCCCCGCGCGCTCATTGGTCGGGATGTGTCTGCTCAGCAGCCTTCAACTTCTCCCCAATCCCACTGGTGAGTCCCGGGAGAACGAGCTGGCATCTGGAAGCTGGGGGAGCAGGGTCCGCAGGGCGTGAGAACTGGGTGGTGGGTGCGGGGACGCGCGGGGCGGGCAGAGCCGGCGGGGTGGTCAGCGCTGCCCTCGAGGGAGCGGAGCAGGGTCTGCGGCGCAGGTCCCGTGCGATTCCAGCGCCTCGGGGTCCGAGACGTGGACGAGGGAGGCGTGCCCGGGAGGGAGCCGCACTGGGACCTGAAGAGTGAGGGAAAGGGGCCGGAGGGTGACCTGGAGGAGGGCTCTGAAGTGCAGTCAGGTCGACTCTTCAGCTCCACCTCGGAGCTCCGTGCAGCCGCTGCCGGGGGAGTTCAGCGCGGCCGCCGAGCTCCGCTGCCTAATTGCAGCGGGGCTGGTTTGGGGGCTGGGAATTGGCCATTCCGCTGAACACAGATTGTATTTTTATTTTTTTAAAGCAAGGTTTGTTTTCATTTTGATTTGTCTCCTGTTCTCTTCATCTGCAACTCACTTTTCTATTTTTACTTTCCCTAACCTGAAGATATTTTCATTTTCTCACCTCTTCATCTTGCTTAGAATCTTAGTTTCCTATTATGTAATTTATGCGGTTAGCGTACTTAAATCACACAACGGTTGGTTGGCGGGGGTTGGGGGCCGCAGTTCTTTGGTAATGAAAGTTTCCTTACTTAATGGGCCTCCATGTTATTTGTATTAGTTGGAAATAGGGGTGATTGCAATCTAGTTCCTCTGCAGCCACTTGGTCAAGCCAATTCCTCCCCCATGTCTGATGCAGAGGGTACTATTGTTAAACCGAAAAGTAGTACCTGGCTTACAGTGTCAGCATTTGGGAACTCCACTTCAGCGAGTCAGCTGTGGAAGTGTGTAGCTCCTTCACTCTGTTGCCTTACTGCTGGGTTCCAGCTCTCCAAAACAACTGTCCTACAGTTTCTTGGACTCGATGAAGTGACTTTTGTCGTACCGCTTATGGGAGTAATGTGGTTGGGACTCCGTATTCTGGGCCGGGCAAACACCTACAAATTGATGTCCGGGAAAACAAGGAGATGATTTCTCTTGAGTACCTGCCTCCTCAGCTTCTGAAGCTAACGTCTAAATCTGGAACCTGTTTCTCCGGCTTCTTGTGCCTCAGTTTCCATAATACAAACTGTAATTGCATAGTGTACCCTCAGGCACTTACCAAAATGTTAATGTAGTAATGTGCTGTGAAGATGAAAATTGTTTATAGACTTCCTCTTAACAAACCAATTAGGCACTAAATTCTTTGATTTGATTGTGGGATAAAGTGGTGTGTATTCTCCACTGGTGTAGGCATTGCTGCTTTATATTGCTTTGAAATTCAGTTCCTACTTAAGCAAAATGATCATTTATTCTTTGGGTGATGTCAAGCTGGTTTGCAAGGTTCTTTGGGGTTAGATCTCTTCATTCTCTAGTCTTTCCTTCTGTGAAAGTGTCTACTTTCCTGTTTAAACTTTCTAACATAACTCCAGTTAAGGTGAAATATGTTTTGGCATATCTTGCTTTATCTTGGGATTACAAGTATCAAATATATATATATATATATATATATGTCTTTTTGTGTAGTTACTCTCCTGTCCAAACCCTCACTCAAATGGGTTGGATGTGGTTGAGTTGGATATTCAAGTATCTGGAGGTGGATGATATCTTTCATCCTGAGGTTCAAGATTCTGACCCCTATTTCCTTAAAAAAGATATTGAATCCACCAGAACTAACTGGAAATGAATAACAAAGTTAATCAGGCAGTTAAACTTACATCATTTCTACTTTTGTTCAGTGCTGTTTAGGAACAGAAGACTGACATTTGCAGGGTTTACAAGAAGGGCAGATGGAGAGTTTGCAGGTGATTCAAAGCTGATATTTCTTGACTTCGGTGAAAGGATTACACAGCCTCTGTCACTGCCCTTGGTTCCCCATAACACTTTCTGCCGCCTCAGGTGCCGAACCATTAGGAGCCCAGAAGTTTGCCTGCAGAAGCCTAGGGGTGCACAGAACACCTTTACTTTAACCCCGTGGCTGCCCTGGTTCTTGGCACTAGGTTTTACTGGAGAAACTGATTGTTGTTTCAAAGAAAGAACTGAAAAGAGAAGTGGGTCATATTATACTAGGACAATGTTTCTTTAGATTATCTTCTGAAATGTTATTAGAGCAGGGGAGAAAGGGAAATGTGACTAACATTCAATGTTCTTTTGGTCAGTCTCAACTCCTTCTGGGAGAACTGGCAAAATTATGATTTTATTGTTTATCTCTCTGTATGGCATCCAAGTGTTAAATTTGCCCCACCCCCCACCCCCCAACCACCCGTATTAAAACTATGAGGACTGCAATCAATGCAATTCCATATCATAACCCCAGGGGCTGAGACCAAGCCAGCATGAGTTACATAACCATTAAAGAAGACATTTTAACATTCAGGTACATTACATTCCACTTTTATTGAGCAGACATGGTTTTCATGGTCTAATAAAATATTTTTATTTGAAAGTCTGTCCTTGGTTATAGCCTCATGTAATCAAGGGGACAGCATGCTTAAGACTTTGTATCCAGAACTTTAAAGTCCAGTTGTGGTTCACTTATTAATAATTCACCAGGGAGATTAAATTTCTAGTAATCTGCTGGATCTCCCAGGTCACGCTTCAAATGTAGACTCTGTTGCTACTTTATGCTGTGCCTCAGTTTCCACAAAATGCACCCTCGGGGAATTGTGTGTGTTCAACAAAGATCTTTAACTTGAAGAGAACTTCTGAGTAGTCACTTCATCTAGGGACTAAATTATACATGTAATCTGTATCAAGCTAGAAAAAGCTAATCTGTGAGTTTACAATGCTTTTTTCTACAGCCCTGCAGAAAAACTGAAGTTGTCTGGGCTTTGGTATTTGGCCCGTAGAGAATCAATAGGCCTCTAAAAGAAACATGATGAAATTTAATTTTTAGGTTTATATTCCTTAAATTTTCCCCTTCAACTTATGCAGTATGATTTAAAGTAGCTTTTATTATATGATGATACACTTTTATGTCAAACAGTGACCAAATGTGTTTTTATAAAGAACTATTTGTGCAGCCTTGGGCTAATTACCTGACTTTTCTGAGCCTCAGTTTCCTGAAGTGTAGGATTACAATATTAATATCCACCTTACAAAGATTAAATGAACTAGTACATGTAAAGCATGAAGAACTCTGCCTGACACATAGGAAGTTCTCAATAAATATCAGCTATTATTAGAAGTATTAATATTAATTCAAATACAAGTTCAATAAACTTCTTAACTAATGAAACCATAACCTACAAAGTAGAATTTTTAAAATCATACATGTTTTTCTTCTTCAGCTCCACAAAGAGATTATGGTTAAGATCTTTCATTCCTGGAGGTAAACCACTGACTTTTGGTGCAGTGAGTGACCTTTTTCAGAATGCTGTCTAACCAGTTAATAGATACCCGTATCCACAGTAGTCATAATTTTGAACTGTAAAATCAAAAGTTGTTTTGAAGACTAAAAGTCAACTATCGCAGGTGTTTGTTTCTTTTTGTATTTATCTGTACTTCTATTTCAAATTACTGCTTAGTATAAAATCTCAAAGAGTTAGTCATTGATTTCTGAGCGTATGAAGGAAGCCACTGAAACAAGATATACAATTCACCTTTGACATTGTCCAAAGTTCAGAAGGGTGGTTTAAAACTTTCCTTAATGATGGTATAGCAATTATTTGCTTATGAACTGCTGAAGGAATACTATGTGAGTATTTAACTGAGTCTTCTTGTCTAACTTTGCTTGGATCTTCTGTGAATATATATATATATATATATATATATATATATATATCTTTTTTTTATCTTTTATATATATATTTAAAGAACAAAAGGTTGTGACAGGGACCCATCCAACTCATCTGGCTCTATATTCTTTGCTTTCAGAATCAAATTTTTAACTTTCAACCAAAAACTTTTATTTCTTATTTAAAATATTTTAACCCTTACTTTTATTCAGCCACATTAAACATTTGGAATATTTTATATATACTTCCTCTTCTTTTTATCTTTTATTAATCCGTCATTTGTATTTAAACTTTTTCTTTGAAACTTTTTACAGATTTTAGGTGATGGGCAAATCAGAAAGTCAGATGGATATAACTGATATCAACACTCCAAAGCCAAAGAAGAAACAGCGATGGACCTCCCTGGAGATCAGCCTCTCGGTCCTCGTCTTGCTCCTCACCATCATCGCTGTGACCATGATAGCCCTCTATGCAACCTACGATGGTGAGTTGCTCCCACACCTGTATGCACACAAATGCAGAAGAGAGTGAAATCTTGATCTTATGCTTTTCCCGTCGACCAGTGTGTTAAGGAGAAAGACAGTTAAATTAAAGATAATGCTTAAAAGAGTCATTTCTAAAATCTAATATCAATACGTCAAAACAATTAACTTTGACTAAAGTACAATGTCTTTTATGTTTGAGCTAAATTATTAATTGCCAAGAATATTTAATGCACTCATGCTTACTTTATGAGGATTCTAATGTATAATTTTATTTGATTAAAGTATATATAATTTTGTGGCCCACTTCAATTAGTCAGTTTTTTTGTATCACTGAAATTCTAAAGGGCTTCACAGAATTTAAGAGGACAAATTTGAGTCTTGGAAATATTTCTCATTAAGGATTAGAAAGATTGGTTTCTTAGTGGCAAAAAAAAAAAAAAAAATGATTGCCAGACTAAAACAACTTATTTCCATTTAAAAGACATAGAACTTAGTGGGTAGAGATGATGTAATAAATACATTTTTATTCATAATGAAAATTTTACATTTAGGATTTTCCCACTTTATTCTTCCATTGTTTTTAAAACTACTAACAATGATATGTAACACTCAGGCTTAGTTCTTGCTTTACAAATTTTCTTATTTAATTGGCAGTTTTTAGAAGAACAAAAGATAGGGAGAAATTAGAAAATGTGTATTGCATATATTTATGTATATACCCTCCTTCTTCTAGATGGTATTTGCAAGTCATCAGATTGCATAAAATCAGGTAAGAAGATGGCTTTTAAATTTAAATTTTATAATTAATATATAACATTTAAAAATATATCTCTAAATGTGCTTTGTTTATGATTTTATTCATTAGATATATTTATAGTCAAGAAAAATAAAAATGTACTGAAATAGTAGATTAACTTGTTTATTCTAAAAGAGAACTCATTCTATTTGGCCCTGGAGTGTATGGTAGGGCAATAAAGAACTAACTACATCACTAGCTTTATGGAGCTTGCCATTTAGTTGGAGAAAGAAAATCAACATGTATGAAATGGTGAGCATCATATCGTTAAATATTAAATTTCTCCATGCAGCATGTGAGGGGTAAGAACTAAGAAGGGGGTGACATGTAATCTTTGAAGCTACATGGAGAAGTTGAGATTTGGGAGGGGTCTTGAAGCAGGGTTAGGATTGGGAAGTGGAGATGCAGAAGAGGGAATTCCCAACAAGAAAAAAGAACACAGGAGTAAATCATATTGTTGAGAAGCAGTGAAAATGTAGACATAATAGATAGGGGCACATTACTGAGAGCTTTGAAAATCTATGTTTAGCCTTGATGTTGTAATAACGGAGAAATGGTTATTTTGCTAAACAGGTCACTCAATAAGGCAAAAGTTGAAAGATAGTTCTGGGAATGCGAGGCTGGGTGGATTAAGTGGGAAGTGATAGGCCAGGAGTGGACAGGTAACGGCTGCTGCTGTAGTTCAGTTGGGAGCTGGGGAGGTCGGCCTGTGGTGGGAGGACACAGCTGTGAGGTCATGTGACGAGGGAACGGGCTGACCTGACAGAACTGACTTGCTAAATTAAGGGTATTAATAATTTGGACATGATGCCAACTTTCAAAACCTAAGGGACTCAGGAGAATGGTGTCAGTGCACACAGAAGTAGAACAGTTAGGAGGTAAATTTGTTTAGGGAGGGAAGTTATTCCTATGGATTTGGACATATTGAGTCAAAGCCAGGGGTAACGTCCAAGTGGGGATAGGTAGACCGCAGGAAGGTAGAGACGGAGGGTTAGAGAGTCTCTTGCAGGATGGGTTTAGGATTTGTCTGCCCTTTGACAAGAGATTCTAAACTTCCTTCCAATAGTAACCTGTTTCAAATGAGTTTTAACCATTTGCTGATGGCTATTCTTATCTGGGTTTCTGTTATTCAATGACCTTTGCAAAATAATGATGAAAAAATATCTCGGGATTAAAGGTTATAGTCTAATATACTGAACGTGTGCTCTTTTGCATTTCTCTATTGCTTTTTTATTTATTTATTTTGCTCTGGATTGTAAGCGTACTGGCTGTACATATGCTTAAGACGTGATGTGGGTAACCTGAGGTACACCTGACTGGGATAACAGTCATCTGCTGCCCAACATAATAGCAGCCACTTTCCTATCCACAGGTTTTCCTAGAAACTAAAGAAGTTCCTTTTATTCCCCAGGGAGATGGTTGTACAGGTGCCTTTTGCTGGGAGATATCCAGGGTCCCTGTGCTAGAGTTGATATGTGCCCAAGTTGTCAAAGTTACCATTTGTTCTGTCCCCAATTCCCCCCCCTCCTTTCCCTTTACCAGCTGCCCTATTCTATGCTCATACCATCCTGTTTTGAGAAACTTCCACTTATGCATTGACCTCTAATTAGCTCCAAGTTTCTCAGTCCTCAACACACCTGACGTGTCTCTGAAGTCCTTTCACACGATCTTGTCTCTTCTCTTCTCCCTCACACTCTTTTCTTCTTTCTCTTTCTCTTTCTCTTTCTTTTTTATTGCATTTTGTGTTTGAAGAAACTGGATCCTTAGACGAGGAGGTAGGTATAGAGATCCCAGCAGCTTCCTCTAATGGTACCCACTCCAGTGAGCAATGTGATATTTGAAATCTGGAATCTTAGATGTGACTTAATGTTTAGGGGTATGGCTTTAGCTTTTCTTTTCTTTTTTAATAGTGTTTGGCAAGTATCAACTCATTAAAATGTATTTAACCTGTATCCTTTCATTGTAGCTGAGAAATCATACCAAATGTAAAACACCTCATAGAACTGTATCTTGGCAGAGAAATGTATACGATAGAAATAGCTTCAGTGGTAAACAAGGTGGCTGAATAGCTTTGTGTGTTTTTTCATTCTGCTCTCTTGGTTCACAATCTGTTAGAATACTTTCATATTCATAGTTATTATTCTTCCTGGATAAAAAGAAAGTGAAGTTCAAATTCACCCTTATGGATACAATGTTCACACCCGTGCACACACACATAGTCCTCTGTTGGTTAAGAAATCTTTTTGCCATAGATAATACAGCTCTTGCCTTTAGAAGTTGCTGCAAATTAAGAGAACTCTAGGGGAAATCTTGAACAGAAAAAAAGTCATCAAGAAAGGGAGAGAATAAGAGTGGAGTGGATGGAAAAGAAAAGGAAGATGAAAAAAAAAAATGTTGAGAAACATGTAAAGCCCCCTACTAGCAATTCAATAAATTACTTTAAAGGGCTGGCAAAATTCAAACCAGAGCACAGAAATACTTGAGAATTGAAAAATTAAGTATCGATACCCAAGGTGCTTACTTTACGTAAAAGTTGATTCTAACTTGAATCTTTCTCCCGGTGGAAGGGAATACCATCCATGGTAAGTGTACTTCTCTCTTTGATCCTGTGAAGTCGAGGGACTGTCCTAAGGTAAAAACAAAATATTGCAGAAGCCTGTGGGTCACCTTGAAATTTGTTTGGTGTTAGGTACTTAAATCTGAGCATCTGTGAGTTTAAATATTCATAGTATACGTAAAATGATGTTTATAATAAACACTTGAAGTAAACTTGTCTATGTTTGAAATGCAGCAGTGTGAAAGATTACACCAGACCTAAAATAAAACAAACTACTTAACAAATAACAAGTTAGGGCAGTGCTTAAAACCCTACTATTAAAGTATGAGTAATGTTATTCATCTCTTATTTACCATATAAGATTGTCAAAAACATGGAGTTATAGAGCTTGTATGTGATTTCTCAAACTTCTCTGTATAAATCTAAATCCAGCAACGCTCCCATTGCATGGCAATCTTACTAACTCAGATGTCAGGGAGTCACAAGATTTCAATCAGAGGTTCTTAACTTCATCACTGTTGACATTTTGGGCTGGATTAGTCTTTGTTGGGAGGAGGTGGCTGTCCTGTACTTAGCAGCGTCCCTGGACTCTATCCACTAGATGTCCAATAAACTCTCCTCTGCCCAGTTGTGACAATCAAAGAGATCTCCAGACATTACCAAATGTCCCCTGGGCAGCATGATAATCCCGGGTTCGATACCACTGGTTTACGTGATCTCCAGAGTTCATCCACTGGTTCCCATGGTGGTAGGCAGAATGATGCCCCTCTAAAGGTGTCCACTTCCTATCCCTGCATCCTGTGAATGTGTCACCTTATATGGCAAAGGGACTTTGCAGGTGTGACTGAGTTAAGGATCCTGAAATGAGGAGATTATCTAGAATTATCTGGATGGCATTATGTAGTTACAGGGCTCAAATAAGGAATGAGGGAGCAGGAGGGTCGGATCAGAGAAAGCGATGTGACCAGAGAAGCAGAGGCTGCAGCGATGTGGCCACCAGTCCAGGGGTATGTAGCCTCTAGAAGCTGGAAAGGGGGAGGGATGGTTCTCCCCGCAGAGCATCCAGAAAGAATGCGGGCCTGCTGACCCTTCAGAACTATAAGATAATAAATGTGTGCTATTTTACGTCACCACGTTTATGGTAATTATAGCAGCAATGGAGAACTAATACTACTCCTTCCATAGTTTTTTTATTTTAAGGCTGTTTTTGAAAAATTAAAATATATATACACACACAGGTTGGTTTTTTTTTTTTTACCAAACTACTGTTTTATTACTAAATTGAGTTCTGAAATATACAGATATAAGGAAGGAATGATTAATAGGAGTATAATAATAGAATACAGGAGAATAATAGAGTATAATAAAATGAAAACTTGAAGATTTCTACCACATGCTTATGTCTGGCACAACTGTAAGCAGCTAACATGTGTTAACACATGTGATCCTCATAATGGCCCCTGAGGCGAGTTCCATTGTCCTTTCCTTTGCAAATGAAAAAACTTGGGTTAAGACCCAGCCCAGGAGGCAGCCGGGCTCCAGAGCCTGTATTCACGACCACTGCTCCACGTTGCCTCAAAGGAGACTTGCGTCTGCCAACTTTTCAGTACCCCGTGCGTGCACAGACAGTACACGAGAGCAGCTTCACCCTCCTGCTGGGAGACCTAAGATGACGCCCAGAGAGTGGAAATATGTGAATCTAGTCTGAGAAGGGGAATATCTCTTACACCCAGAAACCAACCACTCTACTGAAAACATTGAGCAGTTTTATCAGTGGTTTTAGTACCTCAAATACTACATGGAACTGAGGGATCTAAAGAAGCAAATATTAGCAGTGTGTAGTTCTAAAGTCTCCAGGATAAAGAAGCCAACGTACATCAGAAATGGAGTTCACAAGAGAGAACTGGGCCACCTATAGAGTGAAGGTTGTCCACCCAGGGACAGGCTCAGGGAGCATCAAGACCTGATGAAACCTCTCAGAACTATCCATTTCCTCTATTTTCTACTCCCCAAGCAAACTTTTGATGAGTACTTACTTATTAACACAAGGAAAGGAGGCATTGTGTCCACCTAAAAGATACATTCAACATGACGAATGTATTCACGTTCTTAGTTATTATCATTTTTGTGTGGCTTGAGCTATGATCTTTAAAGTAAATGAAACTTCCAAAAATCTGGTCATTTCTGCAAGGGGCCAGATCCTGGTGGCCTTTTCTTGACAACAGAGAATCTCTGCCTCTCAGTGGTCCATGGTCTTCTCTTTCTTGCCTATGAACCTCCATAAAGAAAAATGGCACAACTAGATAAGTATTGCAGACTGACTCCTGAGGGCTGCCAGCCAAGTTAGAGTTACAACCTTTCACGGTAGGAGATGAGGTTATTTTATTGCACAATTAAGTTTGAAAAAAATCCTTCA